ACAAGAATTTCTATTAATGTTAGTACTGATATAAGAATTATTGTATTTGTTATTAGTAACCTTGTATTTCATGTCAATTACTTGGTAAAATCGATTGTTTTTGGTTATGTAAAGTAATAGATTAATTATTAAATAAGAATATAAAGTATATAGACTACATTGAAAATGATCAGGTGTCTTGAGTTGATTAATATTTCTTCATATAAATTATTCTAAATTATAATATAAAGAATGTATGTTTTGTAAAAAAACTTAATATGATCTGTCATTCGGACGTTTAATCAAATTCACAGGCTACATTATTGTAATATAAGTTACCTAAATTAGTCAATAGTATCTGATAGGTAGGTGTTTTATTTTAAGAAATAGTTTATCAGCCAATTAAGTGACAGTGATAACCTAACTATATATATTAAACACGGTTCCAAAGATTGATAATATATGGATACAGATAATTAGTTTTCAACTCATATTCATTACCTTCATATCTGTTGAACAAGGTACTGGTTATATGGACTTAGCACCTCGGTGGATAATACATTGGCGTTTGAAGCAGTAGGTGTTGAGTTTGAGTCACGATGTGAACATCACCACTCGGATGCAGAGTCATCTTTCTGAAAGGTTCGAAATAGAACGAAGCGTGAATCTTAAATTCCGCTACCATCCACATACTGAAAACGTCAAAACAACGGGCCACAAATCTGAACCCCTCTCCACCTACTTTGGTTTTGGTAGCTGATAGTATGACTAACACTCACAAGGACATTGTACTTCAATCCTGCATAAACCTTCACTTAATAGATGAGTTATTATTGTATATTTTACATATGGCTTCGAATACATGTTCATGAGGTTATAAGCATCAGCATTAAGTAGCTGTTAGATGGGCTGGAGTATTGACTAGTAGAGATTTTCTTACCAAAATAGACGTTACTAGGATTATTGATTTATCAACTTCTTTGTGAAAACCTAATAAAGTTCTGTGTAATAATAATTTCATTTTAACCTACTTGTAGATAAAACAGATATCGTCAGAAGGGGTTTGTGGAGATTTTTAGAAATTTTCACAGATTGAAATCATGAGTCAGTTGAAGCTAGACCACCATTGAAAACCTGGAAGCACTGGACGGCCGTTTCGTCCTAGTATGGGACTCCTCAGCAATGCGCATACACAATCCCGCACCACGCGGGGCTCGAACCCAGGGCCTACTGGCTTCGCGCGCGAGCACTTAACCATTAGACCAATGAGCCGGCATACAACGGTGTTAATGTCTAACTTCAACCAATCCACGAAGTTGCGCCACCATATACCATTGTCTTCAGTGAACTGACATCTCACACGCGAAGCCGGTAGGTCCCGGGTTCGAGCCCCGCGTGGTGCGGGATCGTGGATGCGCACTGCTGAGGAGTCCCATACTAGGACGAAACGGCCGTCCAGTGCTTCCAGGTTTTTAATGGTGGTCTAGCTTCAACTGACTCATGATTTCAATCTGTGAAAATCAGATATCGAGCAAATCTGTAAAATGTAAAAAAAATATTGACTTGAATTTCAGTCAATCAAGATTTTTTCATAATATTAGGTCTACTTGAACCAACTGACCTTTCAGTCATTCAATGACTAACTTGTTGGTTAGTCAGACTGTAAATATACATAATCAATTCTTGTTTGTATCTCAACCCTTCAAAAGTTATTGCTTATTGTAGTATAACTATTAATTAACCGACTCAATTTATATCAATCATGTGTGCAAATTAATATGCAATTTACTGAAAAGAGTGACAAACTTTGAAATTGGGTTAAAACGCTTTAGTGTATATTTTTGTAATGTGTTCTGACCCACTTAAATTTGAGGTCAACATTGACTCAGCTGACTTGGCAAGAAGCCAAAAGCAATATTTTTCTAACCCTCTTCCTTTATTCACACACATATACATAGATTTAAGTAGGCTCGTTTGTTGAATTTTTTTTGAGAAAAACAAGTTGGTATTTAGATGTATTCTACATCACATGTATCAAAAATTTCATATAGAATTTTGAAAATTAGTTTATTTCCTTTTAACATCTATATGAGAAGACGTTTTCTAAACATTATTTACGCATACAGAAATTAGGAGGTTTATAAAAAATGCAGCCAGAGAAAAAAAATTTGTCTAAAGATGATAGAATAATCAATTTACATTCTCTAGTTAGAGATAGAGGACAGGAAACTGTTGACCTATATTTCATGTTAGAATGAAAGATGTACGTGTAATCTTGAGGGAACTGATATTCCTTGTGGAGTTCAAGCCCACATTACCCATTTTCAGTCACAGACATTGCCAGTGAAGTATCTCACCAGCAATTGATATTTAAACCAGATATTCACATCCTTTAAAATGTTGAATAAACTAGAGTTTGTCTATATCTATTCTACAACAGTGGATCAGAAGAGTTCATCCAAGTTCGGTTTATGGCAAAATTGATTGTGAAAAATTGTAAATTGACTGAATTTAAAAACATAAATCACTGGATGTCAATTCAGAAGTTTGAAAGTTGAGCACTCTTTTGAGAATAGCAGGTCCAGCGTTTGATTCCTGGTAGGGTTATAAATAAATGTTGCTGAGGAGACCATATTGGAACAAAATAGGGGTTAAGCGGCCCCTGGTAGTTGAGGTCAGTCAGGAGCGTCAAACTACAAAACATAGTATCTCATTTTATACGTTACATTTACAAACCTTACTTACACCCGTTACCTACCCCTCGTGAAGAAACATAGGCCGCCCACCAGCATTCTTTATTCACCTCTGTCCAGGGCAACCCTTTCCAGTTGCTATCCATACTTTTGATGTCTGCTTCCAATTCCCAACGCAATGTGTTCTTTGGTCTTCCTCCTTTTATTTCCCTTCAGGATTCCAAGTTGGGGTTCGCTACTCAATGCAGCTGTGATTTTCTCAATGTGTGTCCTATCCACTTTCAACATCTTTTCCTAATTTCCTCCTCAGCTGAAAGCTGGTTTGTTCTCTCCCATAGTAGGCTGTATCAGATGGTATCCGGTCAACGGACATTCAGTATCTTACGTAGAAAATGGTCCATAAATACTTGTACCATTTTTTATTATGGTTGTGGTGGTTCTCTAAATCTCAGCTTTGTACAGTAGGACTGTTTTGACGTTTGTATTGAAGTTTCTGACTTTGATCATGGTTGACAGTTATTTTGAGATCCATATGTTCTTCAACAGTAGGAATGCCGTCTTTGCTTTCCCAATCCTTGCCTTTATGTCTACATCAGATTCTCCATGTTCATCGATGATGCTGTCCAGATACATGAAAGTTTCCACATCTTCCAAAGATTCTCCATAAGACGTTATTGAGTTGGTGTTCTCTATGCTGTATTCGAGAATCTTGCTCTTCTTCCTGTGTATGTTGAGGCTTACTGATGCAGTGGCTTCTGCTACTCTGTTTGTCTTGACTTGAATTTGTTCGTGTGTATGGAATAGAACGGCCAGGTCATCTGCGAAGTCCAAATCTTCAGGTTGCATCCAACCTGTCCATTGTATTCTGCGCTTCCAGTCAGATGTCAAAGTCTTCACAATAGAGTCAACCACCCGAAGAAAGAGAAAGGGGGTGAGTAATCAGCCTTGTCGGACTCCGGTCTTCACTTGAAATGCGTCCTTCAAATGTTCTCCATGCACGACTTTGCAGTGTAGTCCGTCGGATGAAGTCCTGATGATGCTGATGATTTTCTTAGCTACTCATTCTATAGTGTCGAGTAAGATTCCTTAATATTCTCCTATCCACACTGTCAAACGCCTTCTCATAGTTAAAGAATTTGATGTGTAGTGGCGACTTCCATTTAATTAACTGTTCAATGATGATCTGTAGCGTTGCTATTTGGTCTGTGCACAACTGATCCTTACAAAACTCAGCTTGGTGATCTCGAACTTGGACGTCTACTAAGTCTTTCATCTGGTTCAGAAACACTCCGTTGAAAACCTTTCCTGGTACTGACAGCAGTTTTATGCCTTTGCAGTTCTCACATTTGATCAGATCTCCATTCTTTGGTATCTTGATGAGTTATCCTTCTTTATAGTCTGTTGGCACTTGTTCTTCCTCCCAAATCTTCCTAAATAGAACGCGGAGCATGTTTAGTTACTTCGACATCTGACTTCACTGTCTTGGTTAACATGCTGTCTGGTTGTTATGCTATGCCATGATTTATCTATATGATGTCCTTGCCAATTTCTTTGCTTTTAGTAAGGTGGCATATATAGAAGGTCGGTGTGTACTACTTCGATATCCAGTGGGTTTAATAAGGTTGGTTTATTCAATAACTTTTCAAAGTGTTTTTACTCACCTATTTTGTTGCTCATTTTAGTCATGCTGCAACTGCAATTATTACCATCAATATCCTTGAATTTCTTCAATTCGTTGTATTATGGACATATTTTATTATAATTAACTATATTTCACTCAATACTTTATCAAGTCTATCATTCAAAGAATGAAGCATAGAGAAAGTAGATCACTGTCAATTATTTAGAGTTAGTTACAATACTCTAACAAAATTGTAATGTTTTAGAAATAACGAATGCCAAAATTTGTAGAATTAAGATTAAGAATCAATTATCTAGATTTTTTTAAGTATATACATCTATAAAGTAATCAAACGTTATGTGCCTAACAAATTTGATCAGTTGTACCATTCACTTTATATCTGAACATTTTTACTTTTTGTATAACTAAAAATTGTGGATATTCTCATAATAAACAATCTAACTTGACACAAATTTCTTAAATCCGTTAACAGGCAGTATGTTCTTTCGAACAGCATAATTTTTTAACTAAAAAGGATAGTGACATAAATAATCAGTACGACATTTTAATTATATAGAAAAGTAAGAAAAATCATTTCATGTTACATTATCTGATTTACCTTGAATTGTAAATAGCTACTCGTTCACTTGAGAAAACTTTCTTGAAATCATCAAATCACTTTTGATTCATACTTTTCAGAGATGTTAACTTTATTTGATTATTTAAATCAATTGTAATAAATGATAATTTTGACTCATTTTCTTTAATTGTATCATAAGATTTTAGAAGTTTTCGATTACATTATTCAAACTGGTCACTTGTGATGAATACAAAATTCTTCGTAAAATGTTTGAATAAATTGTTTCATTTGACTGACTGCACAACAACAACTTTGTACTATTTAAATTAGTTTCTTTGGAAAGATTCTTTAGATTTAATCAACCGAGTGAATAAATACCGATTCATATAACAATGATTACTCCACAACAAACATTTTTTACACAATAAAAGTTTTAAATAATTTCATAATTAAGCATTGAAAAAACTACTCTTTTCTTAGCTGCTCTATATCTTGAATATTTCCAAAGTATTTCGGTTTTATTTCATCGTTGATATCAGAGCGTAATGAGAATACTGAGTTCATCAAACTGTATAAGATCATTCTGCAATTATTATCTAAGAGAAACACTTTAAAATCGACATAAATCACTTTAATTGATATTACGATCGAATTATTTCTGGAACTTCATTGACTGTAGACTTTCATCCTAACACAACCATATCTAGTAGTTCACCATCTATTTAAACTTGAATATGGAGTCGTAAGCTTGAACTCAATCCGTAAACATCAGTGATCAGTTTTAAGACATGAAATAAATGACTAATTCAAATATGTTACCGGCGTACAAAAATAAAATCTACGAAACTAGACTAAGTGATATTCGAACCGCCAATCGAGAGGAAAATCGAACTTCGTAAAAAAAATCAACAACCAACTGCAATAGCGAAAAGATATCAGGTTGTCAATTTACAACTCAAACATCCAAGTCTGTTTTATTGGGTTAGATGTTTGGATCTAATCTAAATACTCTTGTATGAACAACATAGTAGAAAAATTATGCTTCAGACAGTAGGGCGCGGTAACCCGGTATCACTATTTTTATCATTTCTTCTTAACATAAGTGATATAATATGGTGAAAATTCGTACAGATGTCCAAATACTTTGAGAATTTATCCATCAAGCCATTCGACGAATACATTATCTGTTAAGAGCATTAAAAATTCTAAAAAAGTGCAGATTTCAAATTACTGTCTTTTAGATAACTGAAGATAGCAACTCAATTAATGCAGTCGGTTACAGTTATAATTTCTTTTACTGAACACATCTATATTTCCTTAACATTTGTCGTAGACAGCAGACAGGTTTATTACAGTTATCTTTTCATATGATGAGGATGTTTAACATGACAACCTCTACTTATATCATCTTTTTTTTCATAAAACAATGTTTATGACATAAATTTCGTTATTTCATCGAACAAGTGTTTGAATGCATATCATTTAGGGCAAGCAATGCTAAACCAATAATTGATAATAGGATCGAGACATCATAATCCCTTTTTTCATTGGTGTCTGGATCCGCCAAGCATCATCAGAAATCAGTTCTCCCTATATATACATTAAACATGGAAAATTATCTGGAAACTAACAAAAAAGAGCTTCTTACATAAGAACATTTGTACTTTGCCATTCCTAACAATTTTAATGGTTACAAAAGTTAATGGAAAAACAACTGCTAGACAGAACTCGAATCAGTACAATAATTCGTACAATAAATTTAGTATAACAAAATATCCAAAAAAAGAAAAAAGCCAAATACAGTAAACAAATTTTAACAATGAACAAAAAGAGACTAACATACAAAAGCTATACAAAAAGGAAACACACAAAGCAAATTAAGGGGATTAGAGATTTTCCTTTTTTCCTTTTCACTTTCTTTGTTCAAGAATAAATCACGATGAACACAAAGAGAAACAATAGAAAATAATAACCATAGTTGTGATCGTAATGTTATTGAATAATATTTAAGGGCAAGAGGGTTAAGCGAAATAGAAACGACAGATAAACGAACGGAAGTATTGGGAGAAAATAAAGAAAATGAGTCAATAAATAGAGAACTAGACCAGTACGTAGGTACATGGCAAAATAACAAAACCACTAAGTCACGGAAATAACAAAAATGTCAACAAAAAATCAATGGTCCGTTAAAATGTACAGTATATATATATATATATATATATATATATATGAAAGACTGAGTATTTAGTATACAATTTGTACTTTAAATACTGATTTAACTTGGGTCTCTATCGTAAATAAGGTGGAGAAATACAGTGTATATGTCTATGATCCAATTGACGAGTTGACTTTACTGGGAGGAATGCGCTACATTCACTTGGTAATAGTAACTGAACACGACTTTTTTTGGGTGAATATTCTTCGTTGGTAAGATCCCAATAGTGACTGCTGAATTTAGAAAAAGTTAAAAACGAAATGAAAGGTTTATTGAAATGCAAAAGTGGTGAGAATTAAAATTGACATATTGAATAAATAATTATATCAAACAAAAAACAGCGATCTATTCCACTAGTTTTTAGGATTCATAGTGGTGCATGCTAAACATATTCCCTAGTGGTGGATTAAATAATACTCACAATGTGGCTTACCGTTTCATCGTTGATGGTGGATCATATTCCTTGTTAATATCTAGGCCAATTATATCTTCAGAGTTTTGTTCTGCACCATCAGATGCTCCACGTTTTAAAAATATCGGACGTGTTAGATTAGGATTATTTAGAGTAGGTGAACAATTTAAGTGCTGTTCTTGAGATTTTGAAATATCCAGTTCACATGGCAAACGTTCCACAATCAAAGGAGGAGGGGATGGTACAGAAGGAGATGAATTCAAATCAAAATCGATTACTGAGTTTGAACCAGGGAAACGAACAGTTGTATGGGACCTAAGGATGTCTGAACTACAAGGAACTGCCCATTTAGGATGACGACCTGATAAATACAAAAATATAGACAGAAATTTAAAAACTCAGCAGAGAAGAACTGATTAATTTCAAGAATACAACCAGTAACGTTTACTTGTATGGTTTAAGTGATTACACTGTAAATAAGCAAACGCCACACTATTTACGACGTGACTTTAAAATCATTACATGATTTGCGTCGAAGACACTGATGATCATAGAAGTGAATTAGTTTATTAAGAATAGTCATGCACATGATTCAAGTGAATCGTCCTCATACACTGCATTTACTTCCAATGGGTACATTTTACTCATAAATGTACCTGTCTTCAGTTTGCTTCTGATGTGATAGGTACTTAAATCTTATTTCAAACAGAATTTTCACTGTACAAAAATTGACAAGTTTCAACATGAGAACAGAGTGTGAGTTTTAGTGCCCTTACAGGATGACAAAGACATTTGAACTTGTATGTTATGCACAAAAACATGACCTATTTTTGGCACACGAGCCAAACTGTCAGCCATATATTTGGACTAAAAGAGACTGAAGGCCAGGGATGAGGGCGACAGATGTTAGCAATTCACAAAAGGGGGGGAGAAGTGTGACATCCACAAGCTAAAATGAATGTTTACGACGTTAAGGGGATGAATATTAAAAGGGGGTGGAAGGAATATACAATACGAGGTAAGGCGTATTAGTCACCTAAAATGTTTAGACTGGTCTGAAGTGAATAATATACAGGTCATCTGATTGCTGCCCTAAATTGAACAAAGGTTAAATTGTATGGATGCCAAATACAATGTCTGTGTTTGACGATCACTTCTAAAATATAACAAGACAGTATATGAAAACAATTAAGCAATCATTAATCTGTGTGAACTTCCAATCGTTGAGTCTCGCTAATATGATTAACGGACATTAATTTTTCGAAGTTTTCTCACACAACTCAAATACTTGTCGTTTAAAAATAGACTAATCTTAACTGTCACTATTTTGACTAAATTTGAACAAGTGATTGCTATAACGTTAAAAGAAGTAACGCAACTTTGCGTACTTCCACTTCATCATGATTTAATTGAGGTATTTTAATGAGTAAATATCGTTATTAAGTGATTAGTTTTGACAACAGTGAAGTACACACAGAGGAGCAAATACTAATTTACATTTACTAGCTATTTTAGTCTATCTATACGACAAGTATTCTGGCTTTGTTTTCACCAAAGTGATTGATTCTATTGGTTGGGGCACCAAACACAATACGCGAGTGCTAATACATTTGATCCATAATATTGAGATGAATTCTTACAGTATGAGATTGTCTAAGCATACCGTGTACACAATGTATCACCGGGATGCTGATCTTAATTTCGTAATCTAACTAACAACGAATCAATTTTTCTATTTAGACAAATAAATAAATGCATTACTACACTCGCAAACGAAACAAAAACAAAATCCAGTTGAAGTCAGCCAGAAGTATGGGGGAAAATATGTTAGTCTTGTCAAAACAGCATAGATCTTAATGCAAATTGGTGACAGTTTGAATGTTACCTTAACCCTAACAAACGCAGTTTACTGTCGTTTAATTAATGAAAAGGACAAAAATAATGAGATTACACCATGATTTGTGACCTAAATTTGTTGACCTCATGTAAACTCAGAGAAAAATCCACTTAATTTGAGATAATCTCGCTCAAACCTTGATTATAGCAGATAATAGTAATTAACTGTGGGCTGCTTTTCTGTAAATAGTATCCGTTGTGTAAGGTCTAAGTATACCTGACTTTTGAATGTGACGAGTTCTTAGCCGCCACACCTAGTGATTAACAATCCACCCTAGACACCACTATCACAACTCGACATATCATGAGGATAACTTAAAAAACAAAACAGAACGAAACGCCTTAACCATGATAATCATAATGGAAAACAAAGAATTGTTAAAAATGAGAAAATGTTGATAATGTAGATTGCTTTCAGATAACTGTCGTATAAGATCTAACAGGCTAATATGCAGTTGGACTTAGTTTTCGTAACTTCGAATTTAGTGCCAGTTTTATTAAAATATTCAGGATATAATGAGATGACTATTTTGGACAATCATTTACTAAACAGAACTGTTGACTAGGCCGTATTACCAAGTGAAATTGATAAAATAAAACACCACGACAACCATAAACTACGATAAATGTTGTCACAATACGTTGCTATTGAATTATAGGTTGGTAACAAACACTCAGTTTCTATAAATAAAACACGAAGTGACTTAGGCAATAGAAAACAAAACAGATCTGTAAGATGAGGGTAGAGTACCGTTAAGAGCAACAAACATATGCATTTGACATAGTGTTAATTAAGACATTTAATGCTGACCAACTAGTCATTTAGGTCCTACAATATTTCCAAAACAAACCTACTGGGGTCCCACATTGGAAAACAGGCAATAAATTAGTCCTATAATAGAATTCATCTGGCAAAAGTAAATTGCCAACGTTACCGCACTAAACAAGCTATAAAGTATTTCAAGGAGTCAGGAGATGCATTTCAATTTCTTTTTTCAGGCCTCGATTTCAGGAAGCAGTAGTCAGCTACTCATTAGTTGAGTTTAACCAAAAGACATACCCATAAAAGAATCGTCGGAGACAAAACGTTAATAGACTTACGAATAAATGAACCACCATTTGGCAAGATATTTGTTATGGGAGCCAAAGGTTTTAAATTAACTTCTTCTAAATATGCTACTGCTCCGGAAAGCGTATTGGATACTTCATCAGTATTGTTGTTGAGAGCGGGTGAGGGGGAATAAGAATGACTCATTAGTGTTGGTGCGACATCACTGGAAGGAGGTAGGGAAGATGGCAATGGGTAATCTGAATCCCAGTTAATGTTTTCTTGACTAAGATCTGCCTCTAGAACTTGTATACTTGGACAGTGTATTGAATATGAACACACTGAAGAAAGTAGACATGGGACAGGTTTAAGCGGGTTTTCGCATTCAAATTCTAGATGGCCGTTTCCATTCTTGTTACTCCCTTCACAAAGCTCAAAATCGCGGCTTTCACTTTCACAGCATTTCACAGAATTTTCTGTGGAAAAAGGAAAAGTTGGAGGAGGGGCTTTTGGTCTACAATGACGATACCAGGGCGATGATAATGTGGTTGTAACTGGACTTGGGATGAGACTATTTGGATTCTTTTTAGTGCTAGAAAATAAATGATTTTCCAAGGAGTCCGGTTTTTCAATATGATAGACTAATTGTATTTCCTTGTTCTGATACAAGATGTTAGTAGAATCCTAATGGGTGAATAAAGAATAAAATAAAACACCTAAGATTCTAGTTGTCAACGTCAAAAGAAAAAAATTTTTGACAAAGAAACACCAACTTGAGAATAATAACAATGAATACTGTCGTCACGTTTTTACCATTAAAATCCATTGAATTTCTTTACATACTTCATCAAATAAATATAAAAGTTGAAATACAACGAACCTGAATTAAAAGGTGCTCGACACGATTGGCTAACTGGGTTACGTGACCAGATTTGTTATTTAAAATACCAATGGTTGAAGATAGACCATTACCAGAATCCGTAGTACCTTCACTTTGTCTGTATGTGGAATGTTTTTTATTGCAATGGGTTTTCAAACTTTTACGAGAATATCGGGTTGAGTGTGTTTTAAATGTTTGCGAAGCAGGTCGGGAATTTAGTGAAAACATATCTTTTCGGGACTTCTGGAATCAAAAAAATTTCATAGGTAAATGAAAAAATAGTTCACAGATAACCTATTTTTAAAGAAACTATAGTTACTGATTTATATAGGCAAAATTATAATCAGAAGTAGTTTTTTAATGCGAAAATCGAATTTTTTCAGGATGCCTAAACTACTTATGAAGCCTAAGTGAAAATTACAAAATTTTAGGTAAGAGTGTATAGTGGTAAACAGAAACATATACTTAATCTAACTAACACAAAACTAAGGTCATGAGAAAGTTTTTGAATCATGATAGGGTGTTTTAGGTGAACACTGGTGATAGGTAAGAACTAAAATCAAATAATGAAGTTAGCCACATGGTAATATATTGGAACAAAATACTAAGGATAGGAACAGGACGTATCACTAGCAGCAACAGTTATTTCATTTTGGCTAATGAGTCAATAAATATCAACGTACCATATCAGTAACAACCGAGTTTACCTCGTGTCGGGCAATTAACGACTTGTTCAGTTTCATCCAATAGGTCTCATTTAAATTTGAAGAACACATTAGTTTACTATCAGCAAACAATTTATCTCTCGGATCCAACGAACCTGCATGGAATTTCATATAAAACAAAGTTAGATGAAAGCCATTTTAAAGTGCAAGTTTATTGAGATACACTATGTATTGTAAAACCTACTACTAGCTGTTTACAGAAAGTGAAACATTTGACTTTTTGTGACCGAGAAACCACAGTTTGATGGGGTGAGTCAGGAATAGGGCTATTTATATGCATCGAAAGCCAACCAAGTTATTAAGTAATTGACATATTGCATTTGGAAAACTCGCTAAGAAATGCAAAGTCAGAAATATCATCTGGAAAGCAAACAATTTGACAGTGTTATCATGTAATTAGTCAGCTACAACGTAGGACCACATAACGTAATCGAGAATCAAATACAGTTTGTTGATACTTTGTAAATTATTGTTCGCCAAAAGAATGTTTGATGTGACACGTAGCTTGAGAATGCGATTAAATAAACCAACAGTGGGAAATGTTGAAAATGTAAAATGTTAAAAGAAACGAAAAGAGAAATGGTCGAAATCAGAAAATATATTACAGAGATTATTAAATAAAGGATCATAAAATTATGTATCACTGACTAATTTGTGGCATATCGTTCAAATTTTGCCTAAAAGTAAATCGTTTCTAGTTGCATAGTCCCTTAAAGATATTTTTTCTTTTTAGTCTTTCCTGGTAAGCTTAACCCAATATTGCCCACCCAATGTTCTCACCTAAAGAGATCAATATCACAAAGTATATACGATTCTGATATAACTTTCACAGGATAGAGGTTCTGTTACTTACTGAGAACGACAATACAAAATAAAATGTTTGGCTCCGTAGCGATAACTTTCTTACACAGGTATGGCAGGGTATACATAGTAAATATCTATCTAATAATTACTGAGTTTATTTTAAGCTAGCATACGAACGTGTGGAATTATTATCAGCTAGAACTGAAATTTACATCGTTACTTGCAGATTTTATATGTGCAGAAGTAGGGTGTGATGTTGCATGGATGACCACTTTTGCTCTTACCGACTAAAACATGTGTAGGGAAAATACACGAAAAAATAACAATATAATCGAACAAAATTCTACCGTTTGACGAAAACAGTTACCAATAATAAAAGAACCTCAATAATGTTCGGAAGTCAAAAAATTTTTAAAGGCCACTAATTTTAACCAAATTAGTGGCAATATATTGTGTCAAAATTTGATATTCTAGATATTATCAGGAGCAAATTGGAATTTCGGGGACATTTATGAAATACTTTACAGGACTAAAACATCACGAGGAAGCAAAACTACTATAAAAACATAAAAACACCGAATTAAGCGTACGTTTGACACAACTGCTTTTGGTTAAACTTGGATATTTGTAGTTTTGACAATGTACATCTTTAGACTTAAAGTAGGACATAAGGCAACCAATAAGCTCTAAGGTTTATTTAGTATTTTGAAAGTTTGATTACCGACCACCGCAAACTAAGTAACGGGATTACTAAATAACCTGGCTAAATGCAGTATCAGCTCAAAATAGAAAATTGAACTAACGAGAAAAGATATTTTATCAACAGCTAATTGCGGACAGTTAATGACTTATTTTCAAAGTTGGCCAGACTCTCGGGAGTCTGAACATTGAGGACTTACGAGAACTGTGACATCTGACAAGCAGCGATGAGACCCATTCTTTGTAGCCATGAAGTATTATATCTGAGGTTCACCGTATATTAACTATGTATTGTTTGCTTTTTATCTATGTGAATATTCTCCAGACTTCGAACATGTAACTTAGAAAAACGCGAGCAGTTATTAAGCGAACGTTCAAAAGTTCTCATAGAGATCAATTTTCAAGAAAACTTGGGGTTTTAACTCTCAAATTAGTTAGTATTCAAAGACATTTCATGTACATGAAACGTTCCATGCAATATGAGTTACATTTGTCAGTGTGATCGCTCAAGTCATATGGAAAATAATATTCACAATTTAAATGATGTGCAATAATAAAAGTTTTCGGTAAAAAGACATAGAGCATAAGGAATGCCAAATTAGTGATGAATCGGTTAAACGATTAGCCATTCCACACTCATATACAATGGGAGCTGTATCAGGTTCAAAACAAAGGTGAACCAATACAAAAAACTCACTTTCTGGTGATTTCGAAAACTCTGGTGAACTTGTGCAATTATGGTGCCGAACATTACTCGACTCCAGAGAAGACATATCAACTCGTTAACAGAGTGTAGTTTTGGATGATGCGCTGATTAGCTTACTCAGTAAAACAAGTTGAATTTCAATAAATAATAAGCAGATTTGGAAGCAGGTAAAAAACCAGGTCTTATAAAAAGATCTGTTAATAATGAACAACTCGTGATTGTTTTTTACAACTCCACAAGTAGAACACGATAATCAATACATAATATTAAGTATAGCAAACCTGTTAATATTAGAAAACCTGGATACATAAAATTAATAATCTTTGTCAGGTAAAATCCGTCGAAACTAAAGGTTTACAGAATATGAGAGTGTTAGTAAATTAGTCGTTCACTTTCAGTATTTTTCTGAAATGTTTGTCGACTTAATCCATATTTTCGTAGTAAAATATTAAGCTATAACGTGTACACTGGAAAGTTGCAAAAACCTGAATTTATCTCATTTTCAATTATCACTTGGCCATTAAAAATCTAAGGGAATTATAAAAAAGACTTCACCCACTTGTAGCACTTCAGCACACGAGGACTTCCGTTAGCTTCTCAGTAGTCGTGTAATGATAATTAAGCGATATAACGGACATTGAATAACAATTTAAACCATGCTGGTTGTACCAACTTTTTCAAATTCGGTCAATCATTATATCCATATCCAGTCACGTGGTATGAGACTTTGATGTCACTCCTGACATATTGCATCGTAATTTCCTGGTGAATTTGGTTCCTTATCACATGGTCATTAAGGCTGAACATGCATCTCTGTCTGCATCGAATTTCATTTTTTTCCTTTCAATTCTTACCTATTCCTTCCGTATCCAAATCAATCACACTTGGAGCATTTTCTTTCATACTCCTTAACTTATTGACTCAGTCGTTCAGTCATGAAATGAATACAATGACAATCACTCAACTACCTTTAAAAGGTTACATAACGTCGAATCTCGTAACGGGACGTCTTCCTGAATTCTCTGCTTCAGACTAGCAGTGGATGAGCAGAGTTTTGTCGTATCTACTGACGACATAATGCTAGAGTTTGTTACCAACACATCATCTTATCATAACTGCTCACTACCTAATATACTGGGATTACATGTCAGTATTCATAAACCAAGAAAAACCTTGAGGACCCCGATTTCGTTCACACAGTCTGAATCCAACTAGACATAAAAAATACCCTCAAATCTATTTTCATTTCTTATGTCTATATAACGTTCATCTTCATTTGGTAGGTTTCAAAAATTCCATTATGTATTTTCGTGTTGTATGTGAGAAAAATATCATGCTTAATTTCGTTAAATGGAAATTTCTTCATTTCGCCTTTTTAGTTAAGATGTTACTTCTATCGCTATCTGTATGCAGCTATATTTCTCCTTAACCATACGTTCGTTTATAATCAAATTACTGATGGGCAGCTTCCAAAACGTGATAAGCTCCTTTATATCGCAAAGGATGTTACTACTACTTTAGCTTTGTTGGACTTCACACTTTCAGTTCTGTAGGGTACCATATTGAGTGGTTTTACTCTCGTATAATACTGGTTGTCTTGATTGACCAGACCCACTCCTAGCGGACAGAGACCTTACTTACTGTAGGCTAACAAAGCTTGCTTTTTTGTATTTCCAACTTCTCTTTTTTGAGCTATTTGATCAGTGAGTCTTTTCCATTTTTCAGGCAATATGACTGTTTCTGAGTGGTTTGAAACACGTTTACGAGTTTGCTAGTGATCAGCGTCTATTCCTAATGTTTTAGTAGCTTTTTGTTCTGTAGTTAACCTCCCAAATCTGTTCAGTTTTTGTATATTTACTTAATTGAAGGTAAAGGCCAGGGTCACTGATATTACAGCTGATTTTCAAAATTACAGAATTTCATACAAAAATGCATTATACGTTGACGAATGGTCGAAAGTAGTCTCACGAACCTACTCTGTGTTTAAGATATTTTGAACCTGTAATAAGTGGCCGCTAACGATGCTTTAAACATGACCAATCGTGCAGGGTTACTGTAAGATCCATTTTGAATGTTTTGTGTGTTTGTGAAAATCCCTCCACGTATATACTTGCCCTTTGTTCCTATTGATCCCCTTAGTTGTACATTGTTGTCTTTTGATTACATTTGAATTGTTAATATTTGTATTTTATTAGTTTTATTTTTATTACGCCTTCACTAAGTTTTCGTGTTTCTTCCCGAACTGCATCTGTGTTGTTTTACTTGACACTTGTTCTTGGCGGTAGCCATATTGATTTGCCCCTCCTTTTGTGTGTTCTATCATGTAGGGATAGAATAACGTTCATTTGTTGTGACTGGTAATTTTCCTTCATATTTCATCAACTAAATTATTTATTGTAATTGAGATTTTATTGATTGAACAATTATTGGTTGAATAGCCGGGTGGTAATATTTGTTTAGGCAACGATTTACATTTAAATTTATGATGAATTATAGAACCGCTATTTACCCAAGTACTTGTTTTGATTTCGACGGGAAAGGGCGCGTGTCTAACGTACCTGGAAGGCTATTCAGCAGTCCAAACCGTAGTTTGGATCTTACAGTTACTTTCATTTGAGCCATCGTACAATTTTAAAAGGGCTTAACACATTATAATGCAGTGCATTTTGACAGCTCAAAGTTGAATTTTAACGAAGGATAGCTCTTTATCATCTTAAAGAGCCTCTAAATATTCTGTTTGTCATTCGCGATGCAGTAGGTTCGATGTCGAGCGCTCCGTAATGGAGATCTAGATCAGTGGAAAAATGGTCTGAAGAGTTGTCAAACCACCGATTTCTTTGTGATGTTGGTTTCTAACAACATGATTCTCTAGTCTGGACATATTGATTAGCACTTAACACGAACCACTTGGAGGAGTCCGGTAATGGTGAACAAGGTAACAGTCAATAGATAAATTGAAGTGACATAGCTCGACCATGAAGTCATGGTTACTCTATGTAAAAGCTATTACATTTTGTATTGAAAATACTACTCTCCATCCAGCCCAAATATGTTCCTCAGAAACGCTAGACGTTATATTGCTGACTCCTGTGATAGAACCGGTCAGTGTAGACGATGATGTGATCACCATGTGAGGTCTTGAAAATCAGGTTTACACATCATGACATATCTTCTTTTTGGGATTAGGTTCATTATAATACCACCAAAGATAGTAGTACTATTAGTCCGCCACTTCTCTGATTTTCCAGCACGCAAATAAAATGTATTCAGATAATTTTAGTTGCTAATTTGGCGATACATACATGCTCGTTTTCAAATATGGTAAATATGACGCTAACATTATTGAAACTTGTGTATTATTGCATTGTCGAAGTAAGCCAAAATGTTTTCTTCACAACACTTATGTACCCATTCGATGTTTGTGAATAATAATAACGATTGGTGAGGATGCGCAAGCGAAGAGGCAGCAGACACACTAGAAAAGCAGTGGAAAGATGTGTTCTTTGAGTGATAAAAGTCCGCATATATTTATGAGTGTTAATCGATGTGGATTTAATATTACCTGTTTGTGTTGACAACGAATAAGAGAATAGATAAAGATCGATGTGCAGACAAATTTACATAGTGGATAAAATGTCTAAATTACTGCGAGCAGACAAGTAATAAAATGGTTGGATGATTTACTACAAACTGTCCTCTTAATTACAAATATTAATAAAAAACAAAGCCTAAATTCCTTCATCATTAGGAATCAGAATTTATGGGGCACGCGCTTTGTTGATACCCTTTGTAGTAAACTTGCGATTAAGTTTGATTATCACGCCCATAGCCTCTTTACGATAACAGTTTATTTAACCTCGATGAGCATACTAATATGATGTGCAGTACGAGGACATGTGCCTATGTGCTTCTTAGCTACTTTTCACGGTCACAGAACCCTATAATATTCTAGAATTCTTTCGTCAGTTCATTTTTTGTGCGTTTAACACTTCAAAAGCTTTCTTCCGACTATCCCGGGACATTATTTTTAGTGTAAATGATTGTTTCAAACCATTTTCCTGAAATATTTTTATTTTAGTCATGTGGATGCTAGAAATTAACATTGTTCTCTCGTACCTTTTTTTGTAGATGTGATGAAACACATGTGTTAAGTCTCACTGTGATGCAGAAAACACCTGACACGGTTGTATCGTTTATGATTTCTGATTAAAAGATTCTTCCTAATAGCTTCCACTGCCTTTAATGGGTTTTGACGATGAGTCTCAAATTGTTGCCTATTCTATACTCCGCATGATATTTAAGCGAAATTTGAGTGATTTATGCTGAATTTTGAAAATATCGTCCACAAAGCATAGTCATTCGCTTTTGTATTCACTCAATAAACTTAACACATTCTTGTCGGTTATACAGTGTTTGATAACCAGTGTGGAAAGAAATTTTTGAACGTGTATCCTAACAGTGTGTCTAATTATACCCATGATCTGAAAACTGAAACTGTTTCTTCACATCGCAAGCTCATATAAATCAAACTGTCATTTTTATTTATTCTGAACCATCATCTAGGATTATTCTGGCCACGAAGCCTTCACGAGACTTAACATTGTTCCATGAATCTTGATGCACTAATAGTGAGAGTTCTTGGTCATGACCATTGGAATACGGCCTTAAAAATAGCTAGGGCAGATTAAGCACAATATGTTTTTTCTAGTAAATTGACACTAATCCACTCACTTTCAGGTCAAATAAACCAATTAAAAGATAATTTTCTGATACTGCTGCATGTTAACCTTCACTGATGACGAAAAATATCCAACTCCTGAATTTTAAAACTAGCTTCGGTGTTAGATTTGTTTTTACTTATCAATTGTGATTACAGCTAACAACCTTGACAACTTTGCTTAGTTTGAATACACTTCGAAATGATTATTGTTTTCTGAATTTTTAAGTGTCGTTATGCATGCTGTAGAGTCGATAATCGTTTCTCCGAGATACACAAAAAACATTTCAAACGAAAGTGAACTGTATTTCAATTCTAATTGTCAGAGGAATAAGTATCCAGCTATCTCTAAATGTCGTGATCAATATTACGCAGATAGAGTTAGTTATATTTCCTATTCCCCTCATCAGCGTAACAACAGGAACTTGAGTCGCACGAACGTTACTTCAGTCAGTCGACGCAACACACAAGTATATGACGACTCATCTTTATTATGTAATCCACGTAGTTTCGTTAACTCTGACTTATCTTTTTCTTGTAATCATCCACAAAGAGGAAATTCTTTCAACTGTTCTCAAAATTATGGAGGTTACCCACTGTCTGGAAGGCCAAGAATATCTAACCAAACTTCAAAAAGTTATTTAAGTCCCTCCATTTTAAATTTGAGCAGTGGAACCTGTAACAGGTCACTTCGCGATTTGCGCAAATCTCCGGAAAGACATGTTAGTACCAGTAGATACCCTTATTTCACGAATAAATCACCGAAAGCGAGAAATGACTTCAAGCCGTTTACGTACTTGAAAAACATCGAAAGAGATCATGATATTCAAAGACAGTACTTATTTGGAAGTGTAAAACCTCGTGACTGTGGAATCGAATACGATCTTTTATCATCACAGCCCTTGGAAATGAATCAATACACCCTTCCTTTAGAATCGACTAAGGGAGGAAGTTTAATGCTAGAGAATAAAAAGGAATTCAGTCTGAATACATTTAATCCAACTGATCGTGATTCTTCCTCTGTTATTCATGTCAGACCTCATCGTATGCGAAAAACTATTGACATAAAACTGAATGACAAAACTCTTGAAGATCCTTCATATAAGCGTCTGTCGAAATGTCTCCAGTCAAAACCTAGGACATCATATGATGGTTCTTGTTGTATGTCAGGTACTCTTGCCGTCACTTTGTATGGATCTAAACTCACAGAATACGAACGTAATGAAATTCAAGATTATGCTGAGGTATATTTCCTAGGGCTTAATGCCCCCAAAAGACATCCACTTGGAAACTCCATCAGTGATGCGTCATACAAGAGAAGTAGCATTATTTCGATTAGTAATATGACTGGGTTCGATGATGCACAAAGCAGTTATATTCTCGTCCCTAATGATCATTTAGCTTATCGATATGAAGTTCTCAAACCCCTGGGTAAAGGAAGCTTTGGTCATGTTGTCCACGCAGTTGATCATTGTACAAAGAAGCAAGTTGCAATAAAAATTGTCAAGAGTGAAGCTAGATTTACTAGACAAGCTGTTGAGGAGATTCGCATTCTCAAAGCCCTCAACGGGCAACAAAATGATGGAGAGTTTAATGTTGTACACTTAGTGGATCACTTCATATTTCGAGGTCATGTGTGCATGGTGTTTGAATTACTTTACATAAATTTATATGAACTCATCTGCCGTAACAATTTTAAAGGATTTTCTCAGTCTTTAGTGAGAAAACTTACTTATGGTATACTATGTTGTCTTGAACTTCTATATCGGTGAGTATTTTCATAGAGGTTTTTCTGTTTGTACGCTGTGTTACTTTAGAATTTAAAATGCAGTGCTTCTAAAGTACCACGTGGTTTAAAAAGTCATATGAGCGTTCCTAATTTCATTTAATCAGTGACCTCTTATGTCGGTTGAGTAGAAACGTCGTGATGCTCTATCGGTGTCTTGGGTAGGAGTACCTTAACTACTGATGATTTTTGACTGTAGTTAACAGCTTCATACTTGGTTTCTTTGACGTAAATCATGGCAGTGAGTTTCAAATTAAAACTCGTTAATTTGAAATGCCTATATCAGCCAAGTATTAAATTTTTCACAGTATCAGTCTGACAGGCTTGTGATAGTTCAACTTTGTATATCGTAATGTATCATCTGCTTTTTTGAGTGCACATATTGTCTTAGTGTAAGGATACTTCCATTCTTCCGTAAATTTGTGGTCTAAATGTTCAAAATAAATCAATGTATGTTGTACCTTGCTCAACAATCACTATATTTTTGTTGAATCCTAGAGTTACTACAGTCAGCTAATACTTTATCAGTCACTGATTCCTATAAAAATCCTTGAAAGGTTGATATGACTGTTTTACAATACACCCCGAAAACTGCATACCAGTTTCTCCCAGGAGTTGAGAAATCATTGAGAAACAAGAAATGAGGTTTTATTTGTAATACGTTGTATTTAAAATGGAGAGAGTTAATAGAAGCAGAATCTACGATGGAGCAACCCGTTGAGTTTGTTTTAAATAAGTCAGGTACATAGCCAAAATATTTCGAATAATGTACTCCAAGTTTGACGTCAAAACTTTTGAATAGATAAAGTTTTTGAGTAGTTTTAACAAACAATTACACATTAGCGTTTGAAAATAAACGTAAAATTTTGAGTTTTAATCCACACAGTTCTTATGTGAAGTTTAATTCTTTTATAATTTGTTCAAAACATCTGAAAACTTCTAACACGAGCATTATAACTTTACTTTGACAAATTTTGTGTTTATGTTATTTATTTTGTTCAGATTTTTTGTCTTGACAAACATAGAAAGGAAACTGAAAGAATACATAAAAAGTGTGCTTTATAAAAATATGGTCACTATATTTTAAAAAAATCAAGCCAATAAACGAAATCTATCGACTTTAACCTTGTTTAAGACTATGATGAGTCTCGACATTATTCGGTTTAAAGAGGATTTGACAGTAACTAAAGTCTATATCAAAATCTAAATATCAGTTAGTGTTAACCACACTTTGTTAAAATCCATCTTAAAGGGGATTTACATCTAAATGTTGCATCTCTAAAAGTGTTTTAAATAAAAAAGTGTTTCTCTGTTTCCGAGAGGTTATGCACCTACTTGTTGATGTGGCTACTAGAACAACAAAATATTAAGGATTGAATCTGTATCAAAACACTATATCTAAACTTATTTGTGAGGTAAACCAATGCTAGGGCTTCTTCGATGAAAAGAATATTCGTATAATTAGCAAACAAAAGTTAATGGAAATTACGTCAATAGTCACGTCTTGCAAACTGAATTCATGCATTTGTCGTGACATTTAGTTGTTTTGGTACGACAAAATTTATGAGTAGGTTCACATTAAGGTGAAAACTAATACTTCATTAATTTGTATGCTTATGCTATTAAAATACCCATTCACCGGAATAAAGAAAGAATCACCTATTATGTTCGAGATCAATTTTTTAGAAAACGGATATCTGTAAGGCTTTATCAGGGAATATGAGCAATAAGAATAATTTTCAGAGGGTATATGCTTATTTTTAAAGGAAATAATTCACAGGAAATTTAAATTTAGGTCTTTTGTTTATCATACATTTTCAAGTTGCCTGAAGCGGTCAATATGAATTACATTTCACGCAGCAAACTTTGATATAACCCACTGCAGGCTATCTGTTATATGACTTTATATGAAAACTCTACAAATTAACTTAAATAACTTCATCTGTCTCTGCAAATTTTCACTGAGTTCAGACGAATTTTTTAACGTGGATTAGTGCGAGAATAGCACAGATACATTAATTTTACTATCCTGGACCATGTAATATATTCAGGATATTTAATTATAGATTGTTAGTTACGCGGTACACATATGACACGTATTTGAAAAACTTTACCCTGAAACCACTTTACACTGCAATCTTTAATCAAGCACAATTTGAAACAATATATTTGTGTACAAAAGTAATTTTCTTGGTCTCTCTTTTTAGCATAGCTGTAAATTTAGCATAATTCGAAATTATGCAATGTTTAAAAAAGTGTTTTTGGTTTTCATCTTACTCTAAAGCAAAAAAATAACCATTTTTCTTTTTATACACATAATGTATTAACTTTCAAATTGTACGCCGCTAAAATTGTCTTATATACTCAAGTGGTTGAATATTTTCCACTCTTTAGAGCTGCCTACTCACAGCTTTTCAAATTATTTTTGTAGTACAACCTGCTACGCTAGCATTATAACAGTTGCGTAGGTGGGCTTTAGATAAATTTAATACAGGATTGTTTAGCTTTAAGAAGTGACTCTTTACGACAAACCCATTTCATTAAGATACTTGTCTGACTATGTTGAAAATTGACTAATTATGTTAATCAAAATTGAAAGTCTCTAAATATGAGAATTTGATGAGTCATACAGACAAAATGGAAGCACTTGGTGTGGTGATAGCCGATTAACAACATAGTATGATTATCGGTTTCGAACGTTTTTAGAGTATAACGATTATGAAGGAAGTCTAGACCTTCGTTATCTGATCCAATAGTTCGGCTCCTCAAGTTATATAGTTTCCATTTGAAAGTGTCTGGATTGGATGCTGGACGTTCTAACCGAATCTAAAACATAATTTCTCTTCATCATGTTTATAGAGGGGAAAATTTGCATCCATTTGACTTTACTGTTATTGAGGCTGAAATTTTCAACAAACAACCTTTTTGAAGTTTTCTAAGGATTAAATGGTAATTAATTACATATTTTAAATATTTTGTCTTTAAACCCTTAAGAAGTGATCATTCAATGTGTTTACACTGGCTAAAAGTTCATAAAACTGATTCAAGGAAATGTTTTTTTCCTTTTTTTCGATCTTGGAGTTTAAATGCATGCACAATAAAAGATAAATAAAGAGGTCGAGAGATTACAAAAATCTTATTGTGTAAAGTTTAATTTCAGTCAAAAAAGACAAACTTCAATGAATGTTCAATCAAAACAAAGATACATATTTAAATATATTCATATTTTCGTAGTAATTTGTCTATTTTATTTTTAATAAGAGCTATTATTTTCTGAAATATCATTTTAAATACTTTATTTTATTTTATAAGTAGAAAAGCATAACACTAGCCATACACTAATTGATAGTTACTAATGATAAAGATATTCAGTGTAAAGGGAAAGAGTAAATGTAATTGATAACAATGTGAAAACTGTACATTACTGTTAACTGTATTGCCGTTTAAACCTGTGTATTAATTTTTTGAATTTTATAAATACTCAATTACTTTTTTTTAGTGTTTTATATATCTTCCGTAATTTGTTTACAGTTAACCCAAAGTTTCACTTTTAAACTTTACTAAAGAAATGAAAAATTGCTTACCTATTTATCCGTTTGTCATCAATTCATTCATGTCTGTAAACTAGTATTTTAGAAGCACAACCATAATGTTGTATTTAAACAATTCACAAAAAAACAATACCGTACATTTTTTAAAAGGATTTTCCGTAGATTTCATTATTGACATACTTTTATTAACCATAGTAATCCATTGAAGTTTGTATCATTACGTATAAATGTGCACGGACAAAATAACTGACAAAGAAAGGTAACAATATTTGATTCATTTTCCCTTTTCCCAATTGTGGATAACGACGAATGGTATATTGAGAAATTCATGATTATTATTCATTGTTATATATATATAGGCAAATGATTTCATGTATACATTAAAGGCTTAGCCCCATGTGTTTGTCTGCCAACCTAAATCATAAAACTATTCAACAAGTAATTATTTAGGTAATTTGTTATGAATTTAAGTAAATCCAAAATTATATAGTTTTCAAAATTAAAAATCACGAGTCGATCTAAGCTGGACCACTATTTAAAGCCTGGGGAAAATGCACTGCCGTTTCGTCCATCATGGGACTTCTCAGCTATGCGCTTCTACGATTTCGTACACAGAACTCAAACCAAGAACCTTCGACTTCGCGCGTAACTACTTAACCTCTAGACCACTGGATTCGAGCCGTGCGTACGGGATCGTGGATGAGCACTGCTGATAGGTCCCATGATGGAATGAAATGGTAGTCCAGTGCTTCTAGATTTTTAAAGTTGGTCTTACTCAGATCGAATGGCAATTTTAACTGTGAAAACACCACAATCTCCACTAGTCCATATACCGATAATTAAGTAATTATTTCATAAATAAGTATGAAAAGAATAGTAATCAAATTACGAACAAATATATATTTTCTCTAGATCCCATTTGTTCCATAACTTACTTACTTACTTACTTACTTACTTACTTACGCCTGTTACTCCCAACGTACCATAGGCCGCTGACCAGCATTCTCCAACTCACTCTGTCCTAGGCCTTCTTTTCTAATTCCATCCAGTTCTTGTTCATTTTTCTCATGTCTATCTCCATTTCCAGGCGTAATGTGTTCTTTGGTCTTCTTCTTTCCCTTCGGGATTCCATGTAAGGGCTTGTCTTGTGACGCAGTTCGGTGCTTTCCTCAATGTGTGTCCTATCCACTCCCAGCGCTTCTTCCTGATTTCTTCCTCCGCTGGGATCTGGTTTGTTCTCTCCCACAATACGTTGTTGCTAATAGTGTCCAGCCAACGGATCTGAAGTATTTTGCGTAGACAACTGTTAATAAACGCTTGTATCTTCTGGATGATGGTTTTCGTAGTTCTCCAGGTTTCCGCCCCATACAGTAGAACTGTCTTGACATTTGTATTGAAAATCCTGACCTCAGTGTTGGTTGACAGTTGTTT